TCTGGAGCAGTACCTGCGCTGCTATACATCTTTTGCCCAGGATGACTGGATACCACTTCTACCCTTGGCGGAATTCGCGTACAACAACGCGTGCCATTCGGCAACGGGGCAGTCCCCGTTCTTCTCCAATTGTGGGTTTCACCCTACCTTCCTCCCGGACTTGGTCCCGGAATGCCCAATTCCGGCAACGCAGGATACATTGACGTTCTTCTCCTCAAACAACAAGAAGCTACAGGAAGCCCTAATTCGGGCCCAAGATGACTACAAGAGGGCATTCAACAAGAGACGAAGGGGAGATCTGGTGTTGTGACCCGGTGAGAAGGTTTGGTTGTCTACTTCTAACTTAAGGATGCTTTGCCCCTCAAAGAAATTAGGCCCTAAATTTATAGGACCCTTTTGCGTTAAGCGGATGGTCAACGAGGTGGCCTACGAACTTGTCCTCCCTGACACACTCAAGATCCACCCAGTCTTCCATGTGTCCCTGCTGAAGCCAGTAGTCCCGGATACCTTCCCTGAACGAGAATCTGGGCCTCCGCAGGCCATATCGGTAGAAGGGGAAGAGGAATTTGAGGTGGAATCAATCTTGAAGTGCCGAAGGAGGGGGGGGCCAGACCCAATTCCTAATCAAATGGAAGGGCTATGGCCCTGAGGATAATTCTTGGGAACCTGCCCATAATGTCCATGCACCTAGACTTGTCCGGAGGTTCTTTCGCGATCACCCGTGGTGGAGAGATCGGGTGGGCATCCGGAGGTTGCCCGTAGGGGGGGGGGGCAATGTCAGGGATCCCCTCGGTCTCCGCCGCGATGGTCCCGGCGCAGGCGCAGTGTGCCGCCCTGTGCTGGGACTCGAGCATTAGGTCCGGGCCGGCCGCGGCGTTCGAGTTCGCGCATGCGCAGTAGAAGCCGCGGCCGCCCGCTGGGCACCAATGGCAGCGCAGGGCGGGATATTTAAATGGCCCTGAGCTGTCATTCAGTGCCTTCTGGTCTTACCTGTATCCTGTATCTGCGAACCTGTGAATAGTAAGTTGCTGACCCGGATTGTGCTTGACCTTGCTGTATTTCTCCTGCCCTGACCCTTGCTTTGCCTGACCTCTCTCTTGAATGCCCCCTATTGGATCTGACCTGCTGTTGCTGACCTGGCGTGTGACCCGACTATTCTCTGCCCGCTGCCTTGTACCATACCGTCCTCCCTGTTACCGACCCGGCTTGTCTGACCCCGCACCTGCTCAGCCATCCATCCATCCATCCGTCCATCCCTCCCAGTGGGGTCTCCTGACCTCCTCATATCAGGCTCTCCCCCGCAGGAGCCCTCGGCGAATACCACTACCACTAACGGGTTTGCCCAGTAGCCACGACCTGGTCTCGGGGGGCTCCAAGTCCATCCCCACCATCAGGGGCCCTGGTGAACAAGCCCCCTGGGACTTAGACTCCGTGCTCTGGAAACACCTATTTAGTGGAGTGCTAGTGGTACCGCCGGGCGGTCCCTTACAGGGGGGGAGGAGAGAGAGGGAGAGAGTGAGAGGAAAGGGAGGGAGAGAGGAGAGGGGAGAGAGAGGAGAGAGAGAGAGAAGAAGAAGAGGAGCCAGATAGAGATAGGGAGAAAGAGAGAGGGGGAGAGGGAAAGAAAGAGAGGGATTGAGAGAGGGGGGGAGGGTGGAGAGGAGGGAGGGGGGGAGGCGAGAGAGAGAGGGGGAAAGAGAGAGAGGAAAGGGAGGGAGAGAGAGAGGGGGAAAGAGAGAGAGGAAAGGGAGGGAGAGAGAGGAGGGGGGGGAGAGAGTGAGGGGGGAGAGATAGAGGGGGGGGGGGGAGAGAGAGAGGAAGAGGAGGAAGAGAGAGGGGGAGAGGGAGAGAGGGAGAGTGTGAGAGAGAGCTAGAGGGAGAGGAAAACAGGGATAAAAGAAGGGGGAGAGGAGGGCGGAGAGAGAGAGGGGGCGGAGGGAGAGAGGGGGGAGAGAGGGGGGAGGAGGGGAGGGAGAGAGAGGGGGAGGGGAGAGGGAGGTAGAAGAGAAGAGAGAGAGGGGGGAGAGAGAGAGAGGGAGGGAGAGGAGATGGGGGAGAGAAAAACAGGACGAGAGGAATGGGGAGAGAGGGAGGGGGGAGAGAGAGGGGGGGGGAGAGAGAGAGAAAAGAGGAGAGAGAGGGGGGGGGGGGGAGGGGGAGAGATAGATATGGAGGGAGAGCGAGAAGGAGAGAGAGAGGAGAGGGAGAGAGAAAGAGGGGGGGGGGGCAGAAGGAGGGGAGAAAGAGAGAGGAGAGTGAGAGAGGAAAAAACTGTTGCTTTAACTACTTGTATAAATGCAGTGTGAGCTGGAGTTGGGCATCAAATTGTCAGTGTACCTAGATCTGCTAGTTCATCTAACACTCTCTTCTCTGTGCTCCTTCTTCCAGAGTGGGGGTGCAATACAGGAGGTGTGTTACTGGCTAGATCACCAGGTGAAAACAGAGGGGAAAAAAGCCTAAAAAAAAGAAAATTAATGCACACAACAAATCTAAGGATTGCTCCAAATGTTTATTTATTTATTTTTTCTTCACAAGAAAAAGTTACTAACAGAAAATATCTATTAAGAATTTATCATTTAAAATTATCAGTAAATAGTAAAGTAAAAGTATCAGTAAGTCATTTTGCTTTTCGTTTGTCCAATATACAGTATATTAGCAGATAATCATGGTTATGTTTCATATAAAAATCATAAACCTAAGAAACAATCACACATTCTCTCATTATTTACTGTGTTTAGAAAAGTACTTAATTTCCAGGTACAATTTCTGTGTCCAAATATTCCATTGGCTCTAGTTTTGTTGCTCTTGTTACTGTTTATCACAAATGTTTGTTATTGAATGTCAAGTATCATGCATATGTGAAATCCCTGGTGTTCCTACCAGTCCCTCCTGCGTTCCTATTAAGAACTGACCACACTAGGCAGGAGACCACAGAGGGGTCAGTTCTCTAGCTGTGCTAAGAATTGAGTCTGTTCTCCTCCAATGATCAGACTTCTGCTAACACACCCTCCAGCACAGCTTTTCACTGGGATGTTCAGTGTCATGCTGTTTCTCCTCCCCTAGCTCTTATGCAGCTGAGAACAGAGGGAATGTGATCACTTATATATAAAAAAAAAGGGAAAACGTGGTTATAATGGTTTTTTTTTTTATATCTAAACACAAATGTTTTTATTTTAAACTGTGTGGGTTGTTTTACAAGGTAAGGTTTTACAATCACTTTCATGAAACAATCTCTCTCCTCAATTTAACTACTATCTAAATATTTCTCAGACTATTTTACAGTGGGGATCGAAAGTTTGGGCACCCCAGCTAAAAATTTGTATTAATGTGCATAAAGAAGCCAAGGAAAAATGGAAAAATCTCCAAAAGGCATCAAATTACAGATTAGACATTCTTATAATATATCAACAAAAGTTAGATTTTATTTCCATCATTTACACTTTCAAAATAACAGAAAACAAAAAAATGGCGTCTGCAAAAGTTTGGGCACCCTGCAGAATTTATAGCATGCACTGCCCCCTTTGCAAAGCTGAGCCCTGCCAGTGTCATGGATTGTTCTCAATCATCGTCTGGGAAGACCAGGTGTGTCAAGCTCAAAGGTTTTAAATGCCCAGACTCATCTGACCTTGCCCCAACAATCAGCATAATGGGTTCTTCTAAGCAGTTGTCTAGAAAACTGAAACTGAAAATAGTTGACGCTCACAAAGCTGGAGAAGGCTATAAGAAGATAGCAAAGCGTTTTCAGATGTCAATATCCTCTGTTCGGAATGTAATTAAGAAATGGCAGTCATCAGGAACAGTGGAAGTTAAAGCAAGATCTGGAAGACCAAGAAAAAAATATCAGACAGAACAGCTCGCAGGATTGTGAGAAAAACAATTCAAAACCCACGTTTGACTGCACGATCCCTCCAGAAAGATCTGGCAGACACTGGAGTTGTGGTACACTATTCAACTATAAAGAGATAATTGTACAAATATGGTCTTCATGGAAGAGTCATCAGAAGAAAACCTCTTCTACGTCCTCACCGCAAAAATCATCGTTTGAACTTTGCAAATGAACATATAGACAAGCCTGATGCATTTTGGAAACAAGTTCTGTGGACCGATGAGGTTAAAATTGAACTTTTTGGCCGGAATGAGCAAAGGTACGTTTGGAGAAGAAGGGGCACAGAATTTAATGAAAAGAACCTCTGTCCAACTGTTAAGCATGGGGTTGGATCAATCATGCTTCGGGGTTGTGTTGCAGCCAGTGGCACAGGGAACATCTCACGAGTAGAAGGAAACATGGATTCAATAAAATTTCAGCAAATTTTGGATGGTAACTTGATGCCATCTGTGAAAAAGCTGAAGTTAAAGAGAGGATGGCTTCTACAAATGGATAATGATCCTAAACACACCTCGAAATCCACGGGGGATTACATCAAGAGGCATAAACTGAAGGTTTTGCCATGGCCTTCACAATCTCCTGACCTCAACATAATTGAAAATCTATGGATAGACCTTAAAAGAGCAGTGCGTGACAGACAGCCCAGAAATCTCAAAGAACTGGAAGACTTTTGTAAGGAAGAATGGGCAAAGATACCTCAAACAAGAATTGAAAGACTCTTAGCTGGCTACAAAAAGCGCTTACAAGCTGTGATACTTGCCAAAGGGGGCAGTACAAGATATTAACTCTGCAGGGTGCCCAAACTTTTGCAGATGCCATTTTTTTGTTTTCTGTTATTTTGAAAGTGTAAATGATGGAAATAAAATCTAACTTTTGTTGACATATTATAAGAATGTCTAATCTGTAATTTGATGCCTTTTGGAGATTTTTCCATCTTTCCTTGGCTTCTTTATGCACATTAATACAAATTTTTAGCTGGGGTGCCCAAACTTTCGATCCCCACTGTATATGCATATACATTTTTATTGCAGTTTTAGTAATATTATGATGCATTCCTTTTATAATTTTTTTTTCCTTATTTTTATTTTACAGCTTTACACAATTTATTCTTGATATGGCTGTGGGAAATCTGTCCAGTGTAACTGAATTCATATTCACGGGTATCACCAGTGATCAAAAGTTGCCACATTTCCTTTTCATTCTGTTCTTGCTTATATATCTTATTACTGTTTTTGGAAACACTGCTATCATATTAACTATAATAATGATTAATGACTTGCACAACCCAATGTATTTCTTTCTTAGCAATTTGTCTTTCTCAGATCTTTGTTTCTGTTCTGCTGTGACTCCTAAAATGTTGTATGATTTGATTTCTGAAAGGAAGCTCATCACTTTTATTGGCTGTTTGCTTCAACTATTTTTCTTTGCTTTGTTTGCAACCACAGAGGGCTATTTATTATCTACCATGGCTTATGACCGCTTTGTTGCAATATGTCACCCTCTTCTCTATGTGGTTATCATGAATAGGAGAACGAGGATAGTCCTCCTGACTGTTGTTGTGTATTTTGGTGGACTTGTCACGGCTGGGATTCACACAAGTAGCACATTTAGTTTGACTTTTTGTGGCTCGAATGTAATCAATCACTTCTACTGTGACATTAATCCCCTGATGGCACTCTCATGTTCTGATACGTACATGAATAAGACAATCATATTTGGTATAGTTGCTACTCTGGGTCTATTTTCAGCAGCAGTTACCTTATTCTCATACGTCTACATATTTTTCACCATAATGAACATCCGCTCATTGGAGGGAAGACACAAAGCATTTTCTACATGTAGCTCCCATCTGTTATGTGTTGCCTTGTTTTATGGAACAGTTTTTTTCATGTATCTACGTCCAGCTTCCAGCTATTCTGTTACCCAAGAAAAAAGTGGTATCAATCTTTTACACTATGATTATACCAATGATGAATCCAATCATCTATAGCTTGCGAAACAGAGAAGTGAAAGATGCTGTGACACGCTATATTAAAAAATATTATAAATAAATGGATTGCATTTTGTTCCTTTATTAGCATCCCGGAAGCACAGTGTACTAATCAATTGTTATTTAAAGGATAACTGTACTTATGGAATATGTACATTTCCTTTTTGCCTACCCCTTGACCTAAAGTAACCTACTTTCTCCACCCCAAATGCATACTTTCCGGAATCTGATGGCTACGGCCCTTAAAAATTTTAAGAGCCCATGGACAAAATATTTTCTTCTGCTGCATCTGCACAGTTAAACAGAATAGAATGCTATAGTGGATAGTAACCTGACACAGTTCAGTACAACATATATACATATTAATTAACCGCATCTCTCAATAAACAATCTGACAAGCATGTCAAAACCTGGACACCCTGGCTGATTTACAGAAACTCCTCTGGTGCTGAATAATCACAGTCCTTGGGGTTGCTGCTGGGGAGAGAGGGATCCAACCCCCTCCATCCGCCCCCCTCTCATCCGATCTCCTTCCTTCTCCTTTGTTCCCATCCCTGTACCCCCTGACCGCCAACCTATCATCCCCCAAAACACATGTTCCCTGGCCATATTCTACTTGCCCCTCATTCCAGGGGCCAATTATTATCGGGTATGTCTAAAATTATATACTGTGTATTTCCTTACATATATTTACACATATATTTAATAACTCAGTTTTTTCCTCTCTCACTACTGTAAATCCCCCCTCTACTTATTTCTTATTCTCTGTTTCCCATTCTCATATATTTACCCTTTGGGTTAGTTTTGTGTAACTATCTAGAAAATATGACCATAGGAGGGCCTTAATAAAGCCTATGTGGAGACCTACGGACAACATTTTTTCAGATGGCTTTACTACTAGTCTGTATTTCATATGTGGTAGACATTATAATTCCATTTTGTCTATGCCTTATATATTTGTGATCCGATGCATATTATAGTCTCTGAACATGACTTTTATCACCCTATACTGTGGCCAATGTAATTTATATTAAAAAAAATAAAAAATAAAAAAAGGGTATCAGAACAGCATCCCTCATTGTTATGCCTCAAGTAAAACCTGCATTACACTGTGTAGTTACCAGGAGCACCAAGACCCAGGATGGGTGCAGGATACCATACTTTCTGCCCCCTTACACTGTTTGAAAACCTTTTGTAATGTGTTTAGAATGTGAACAGTGAAAAAAATGCATATTCTCAAACACCCTTTCCTGTACAATACCTTTAAAACAAACAGGATGGGGATGCCATGTGTTTTTTTCATGCATGCTACTGAAACCCACACTATACCAGTGACTGGAACTCAGGAGGAGCCTTTATGATCTGGATCCCATAAGGACATAGCATCCCTAAAATGGTGACCAGATACTGCATTTTGGACATCTACTGACATATACATTTCACTCCCAAATAGGAAATTGTTCATAATTGTGGACGTTCTCCACTATTTTGGTAGAGTATGGGATTTTCATACTAAATTTTATACAAACTACTCAGGTGACATATAAAAAAAAGATAAGGATGCCCTTTCTGTCTGGGCTCAACTTGGGTCTCCTTCAGATAAATTCTGCCCTCTTAATGCTACATCTACCTTTAATAAGTAATGACAGCTATAAATTTGACCCTACCTTCCTTGTGTAATAAATTGTATAGCAACTACTGCTTCAATAAACTGAATAGGAATAATATGATCAAATCCCACCCACGGCACCACCTGCCTGGAGTTTGCATGTTCTCCCTGTGCCTGCGTGAGTTTCCTCCAGGTACTCCGGTTTCCTTCCACACTCCAAAGACATGCTGGTAGGTTAATTGGATCCTGTCTAAATTGGCCCTAGTATGTATATTTATGAATGTAAGTTAGGGACCTTAGATTGTACACCCCTTGAAGGTTAGGGACTGATGTGAATGTGCAATATATACAGTTAGGTCCATACATATTTGGACAAAATTTTAGTTTTTTTCAGGTATTTACCAAAACGTATTCAAGCTATAGTTTTATAATGGATATGGGCTGAAAGTGCACGTTTAATTTGACGGTATGTACATCCAAATTGGAGGAAGGGTTTAGGAATTACAGCTCTTAAAAGTAGCCATCTCCCCTTGTAAAGCACTGCGTAAATTGACAGCGCTATATAAGTACCTGAAATAAATAAATATGAATCAGATTACACTGATGCATGCAGGGACCCTCAGCAATGTCTCATAAGTGCAGTGAGCATATGTTACTCTGTTAATTTAATTGTTTACTGTCATGAACACCCAAATATTTGTATGAGTCTAGATAATGATCACTTCATGTAGATGTCTCAGATGTAAATGCAGAAGGAAACAGATGTTGCTTTTGACCAGGATATTGGATCAATGGTGTGATCAGGGCCTGGATCTGCACTGGCATTGGAGCCCAGCAGCCTATATTACCTAGAGCTCTGTAGAAAGAAGTTGCTGAGCGGTCTCCAAGTTTTTTTTGTTAACCTGCGACCTGATCTGCGGATTCTGCCTTTCCATGTATCATCCGACTTCCTTCCTGACCTGCCTCCATTTCCCTCTTCATTATGATCTTGGCCTGCTTTCTGGACTCTGCTTACTGCCGCCTTCTTCTTCTGACTTTTTATTCAGCTATTGCCATTAAAGTTACTTGTTTCTTTCATCCCACTAGGCAGATTTTTTTAAGGGATTCAGTACCTTCTTTTGATGGTACCCACTCACACTTCCTTGCCTAGGCCAGGATGAAGTTGCCTCGGTTATCCTCCCCAGCTTCCCATAGCTTCTGGGGAAAACATCACATATCGCAGGATACTACAGGACACATGGCAAACTGTGGCTTGTAAACAGAAAATTGATGTTGCGCTAATCACAATAATGCCACAGACATTCCAAGACAAATAATGAGATGAGAAGACAATAGATAATACACCATAACATAATCAGTAAATGGAAGGAATATAGGAGTGAAGGGAAAGGTGAAATAATAAAGGTCCAAATTGAGGACTAAAAGGTGTAACGGACAATAAACCGTGACCGTGGGCAAAACGCACGGAAATGATCAGGGAAAAAACAAAATATTAACTAAATCACAGTAATAGTGGGACACATGAGTCCGTCATAACATAAATGAAATAACGTCAATATAACTAATGAGAAAGTGGAGTAAACTGTGAAAAATACAAAATTAAGTGCTTAAATATGGACAAACCACTTATCACAGAAGAATGACAGCGCACAGTGAGGCCAAAAAATGTGACCATGAGACTAAAGAGTCATAACACAATGTGCATCAAAAAGCCATGTGACATAAAACGACTAATAACACTGTTCAACAGGTAAAAGTTTTGGGCATAAAATTAGCTAATCTTACATAATTTTGGGGTGCTGAAAACGAAAATGACCCTAAAAAATGTTGATTGGCTCTAGTTTCCATGATATATTCACCCATCTAATGACGTAAGCCATTCAAAATTATGATGCAACTTCAGCTGCATATTGCGCAATTGATACTGGTGACCAATAGAAAATTGCATGTATACTGAGATGATGCAATATTAGCCTTTAATTGCATCACTTCACTGCATAAAAGCTGCAGTATCTGTAGCTGATTGTAGTTCGACAGCGTCTTTACATTTAGTTTTATGCTTATATAGGCTACTCAGTAATGCCTCGAACTTGTGTGAATAAAGCAGATAATTTCTGCTATATCTGCGGTGAAATAACTTTTATCTCACAAAAAAGGAGGATAACAGGAATGATTAAGAAAGCCTACAACTTGTATTTTGGCTGCAAGATAGGAGACCAGGACAAGAGCTGGGCACCACATATATGCTGCAATTCTTGTGGGACGGCACTGGAGCAATGGTTGAATGGAAAAAAAGGCATCTATGCCTTTCGCTGTGCCAATGATTTGGAGAGAGCCAACAGATCATGTTAGTAATTGTTACTTTTGTATGGTGCCTCCAATTGTAAAAGGGCTAAATAAGAAGAAAAAGTTATCTGTGCACTATCCAAATATTCCATCGGCAATACGTCCAGTTCCTCATGGAGAGGGGCTACCAATTCCTAAAGCACCAGAATCCTTCGTGGTTGAGTCAAGTGAGGAATAACCTGAAGCGTGTAGTCACGTGCAGTTGTAAGAGATAGCCCTTTCCTCGAATACAAGAGAAAAGCCAAGAGAAGCAAAACCGACACAAACTGAAGACAAAACTAGTGAGAATCCTAAGTATTAAAATGATTCAACTTAGCTTATGGCTATAATTTTTCTTGGTAATCCTATGCAATATATTATGCCATTTAGGCTTTGTTATGTAGTCAATATCACTTGCTTTATATTTGTGGAAAGACATCTATCTATATAATTATTGTGCATTATGTAGTCTTTACGCCTATAGTAGAAAAACTTTCCGTTTACAGAAAAACTAGAGCCAATTGACAAATTTCATTGTTATATTTGAACTCAGAATGTGAAATTCATTAAGAAATGGATCCTTTTGTTTCCAAAACTGGCAAAAAATAAAAAAGTGACCATATAAATACCATAAATAAATGTAGCAAATTGTTTATGTAGCCACATTGGAGGGTTTTCGAGCATTTAAGCTCATGCCACAGTATCTTAATCACAGTTCATTCATGACTTAACAAGAAAGGGGGGGATTACTTTCTTGGGTTATCTTTGTGTAATATTCAAATTTGTTTAATGGTCTCAATCATTAAAAGTTGACAAATATGCAAAAAAAAAATCATCAGGTGGTAACCTCAAGCTCAAGTGTACTTGAGTTGTGCAGCAGGACAATGATCCAACACACACCAGCAAGTACACCTCTGAATAGCTCAAAAAAAAAAATTAAGGCTTTGTAGTGACCTAGACAAAGTCCAGACTTAAATCCAGTTGAGATGCTGTGGCATGAGCTTAAATGCTCGAAAACCCTCCAATGTAGCTCAATAAAAACAATTTTGCAAAGAAGAGTGGGCAA